TCTCCATTTTTTTTTATTTTGCTTAATTTTTGTTAATACGTGTCACGATTGGTTTATAAATTAATTTTATATTCTTAAAATAAAATTTCGAATTTGGATTCATACTTAAATTATGTTACTATAATAGGAATGAGATCAATACATTCTTTAAATTATGTATCTTTTATTAAATTTCAAATTTAAATTGTTTTTCAAATTATATTGTTATAATTAGAATGAGATCAATATTCACGTATGTCATAATTACGTGCCATAAATATAATTTGTTGGTCTAAATATAATTTGTTTTAAATACACACGTTCAAATTATTAATTGCTATTAAAAAAATATTTTTTTTAATTTTTTTTTGTTTTAAATTTTATAAAAAAAATTATATCTTTCTAAATTATAAGGACTTGAACAATAATATTTTTTAATATAAATCTCTTTTTTGACAAAAGGCAAAAATATTAAGAAAATGAATAACTTTTTTAACACTTGTCAAACATGGTGGATTCTGTTATTTTTTTTTATATCTCAATCATCAATTAAAAAAATTAAAAATATAAAAAAAAAATTTGGCTTAAATAATTAAGAAGTGACTTTTGCCAAAATCAAATAGAAATAAACATTATTTTTGTTTTTGTTAAAAGTGATGATTGGTGAATTGTTTTTAGTCATCTTATTAAAGTTGAAAGTTGCAATTCTTTTTTCTCATTTTTTCGATTTTGTTTAATTTTTGTTAATATGTGTCACAATATGTTTGGTTTATAAATTAATTTTATATTCTTAAAATAAAATTTCAAATTTGGATTCATACTTGTGTTGTTATAATTGGAATGAGATCAATATTCATTCCTTAAATTATGCATTCTTTATTAAATTATAAAATAAAATTTTAAATTTAAATTGTTTTTCAAATTATATTACTACAATTAGAATAAGATTAATATTCGCATGTGTCATAATGATGTGTCATAATATTGTTGGTGTAAATATAATTTATTTTAAATACATTTGTTCAAATTATTAATAGCTATTAAAAAAAATTATTTTTTGGTTTTAAATTTTATAAAAAAAATTACATCATTCTAAACTATAAAGATTTGAACAATAATATTTTTTAATATAAATTTCTTTTTTAACAAAAGACAAAAATCTTAAGAAAATAAATAATTTTTTTAGAACTTGCCAAACATGATGGATTCTATTAATTTTTTTTATATCTCAATTGTCAATTAAAAAAATAAAAATAATTTTTGTTTAAATAGTTAATAAGTGACTTTTGCTAAAATCAAATAGAAATAGATCAAATTGGTGATAGATTCAGTCTAAAGAATGTAAAAGACATTAGGTCTAGTAGATATTTTTTGTTAGTGTGGTTTATCATTTGTGAAATAGTTTGGTGAAAAATCATTTTATTTGTTTTGAAGGATATTTTATTTATAATTTTACTCCTTAATTTATCTGTTGACTTTCATTGACTATTTGTTCAAATTTTTTTCCTATCTGTTCATTTTTTTTAATCATATTTGTTCCATTTTCCCTTATCTGTTCAATTTTTTTCCTAAATTCTATCTGATCAATTTTTTTTTTTTAATATTTTTTATCTCTTAAAATACCAAGCCAAACCAACCCCTGTCGGCTAACAATAATTGTTTATCTGTTCACTTTTAAATATTTTTATCTCTATTCACTTTTAAAAAATTGACAGATTACAATTTATTTTATCATCATCATCAACTACTAAAAAAAAAAAAAAAAACAGAAAAAAAATAGGCTTATGGAGTCAGATCTGTTTCAACAACAAATAATCAATAACTGCTTAAAAAAAAATAAAAACGAAAAAGAAAATTTCAATGGATCTGAACATTAGATAACAAAGGATATATCAGTAGGTTTTCCACCAATCTCCATAGATCACACACGCGCGCACACACACACAAATCACAAACACAGATCTCACACACACACACACACAGAGATTGCATAAGAAAATGATCAACAGCTTGGAGTGGGTTAAAAAAAACGGCGGCGAGATCAAGGTCAGTGGCAACGACGGCGCTGCTCCGGAGGCCTTCTCATTGCCGACGAAGATAGATCTGGAACCTAGAAGAATATAGCCGAAGTCGTACCATTACTCTGTGAAGTCGTCTCCACAAAATCCAAAGTTGCCTTAGCGTTCAGATTCGTCGGCTGAAACTCGCACTTGTTCGGCGCGCCGACCTGATTCATCGACGAGCTGTTTGCGGGCAACGTGTGAGTCGCAAATATCTTCATCGTGCAGCCGGAGTACTCGGCGCTCTTCTCTGTCACTTCGAGCTTGGGAAATCTGGCGGCGGAGGTGATGGATGTGGATCTGGCGACGAGATGGTGAAGCGACAGATCACTCAGTCACTAACACTGGAGCTCAGGAGAGAAAAAAAAAAATTGATTACTCAATAAAAGAGTAGAAAAGAAATAATTGTAATTTTTCTCATTTTTATTTGATTAGATTTTATTAAGAGAAAAGAAAAGAAATTATTTTATATTATATTACCAAAATAACCTTTCTATATTTTCAATCATTTTATTTCTTTTATTTTTATAGGGACAAAATTGATATTATGAAAATAGTGATTTCTTTTATCTCTCAATCTCTCCACTTTTGGGAAGATTGAAAATGAAGCTTATAAGAGAAATGAATTTCTATCTATTTCTCTCTATTACTTTTCATTTCTCTCTACTTATGTTATCCAAACAAATAAGAAAAATATATATCACTCTATTTCTTTTCTTTTATCTCCAAATCACTCAATCCAAACATAGCGTAAAACTTATAATTAATGATATTTTTTTTATCAAAATTTAAATTGTCATTGAAAATTAATAATGACGATTTTTTAATAGTGTTGATGAAAAATGCCATTAATTCTCATAGAACCTATTGTCATTGAAAAATGTCATTAATTCACTTATTAGGATTTACATGTAAGTCCTTCATATATATATATATATATATATCGGGACATGCTGGTTATTTTGTCCAAACTTATTCTTTTAGAGCATCCCCACCAAAGCCCCTAAACCCCCTCATTACCTATTTTAAGGGGTAAAATGGCTCCCTATCCACATGCATCAAATCTTCTAAACAATTCCCTAAATTAGTTTTTGCTAATAGGGAGTCACTGTAACTCCCTATATATATATATATATATTGTTACTTTGCTTTGTTTAAGGATTGCAATACACATTTATGATTTTTATTTTTATTAAATTTATAATTAAAAATTATATTTTAATAAAATAAAGAAAAAAATAGGGAGTTTGTTAATAGAATAGAGAAAGAATAGGGAGTCTGTTGAGAGAACTAAGTGAAAAAGTGATTCCTAAAATACGGAATGAATTTTTTAATAATATTTTAGGGTAAAATTTAAGAAAAATTATTTATAAGTCCTATTAGGGAGACTTATGTTATGTTAAGTCCTATGAAATTTCTTATTGAGTGTGAAGTCCTATTTAAATTAGAAAGTGCTCCATTAAGTTCTATCTATTGGGTTTTAATAGAATTAGTTTACTATTATACCCTTGATATATGTTGCAATGTTTTAATCGTTTTGTTTCCATATTGTTTGGTGCCGTGATATGCGTTATGGTCGCGGAGTCTGTTAGGTTTTCAAAATTGTATTGGGTTGGATGGTTTGGTTGTTTCATCTTGCCGCTTTGGAGTCAGATTGTTTGAGGGAAGGAGATCAAGTTGTCTGCTTATTCAATTGGTGAGTGTTGCTCTGGTTTTTTCCCGAATGTTTTGTTTTCAATGTCCTCATATATCGTTTGGATTTCGCAATCTGTCATAGCAATCCATTAGCACACTTTGTTATGGTTATCTTGCATCAACTTCCGTGGTAATGATATTGTGTTATAATGTTCACATACATGTTACATTACGTTTCGTAATAGTATTTTACGATAGCTTATTAGATTATAAAGTGAGAATGTAAGAATGTTTCTAGGTTCTACAAAATGGTACAACCATACATTGGCGCAATTCTGTAGATTCAAAGGTTGTTACGTGCGTAATGGTCTGTGTTATATTCGTTTGTATTTAAATTGTGTTTTGCAGTTGGGCTACTTTTTCAAAATATATGTGTCACATTACGAATCACAAAATTATTGAGCTTCATTTGTTTTCCTTCACAATGTCATATTTGCTTGTCTGTGGATACTATTGAAATGTATGTGAATGTAACTCACATACACATGGACATGAGCATGGTTTTTGTATTGTGTTGTCTGATTCTTGTATTTACTGTGGACATATGTGTCACATTTCGTTTCGCAAACTCTTTGGTTTCTATTTTTTACAATTGAATGTGACAATTGCATCGGTTGATGGAATTTATTGGAATGTATATTAATGTTAATCTAACTTCTTTTTGTGATGTTATTTAATTTGGGTTGTCATTGTTCACATATGAAATTGAATGTGATTGAATGTAGGTTGGACCACGTTGTACGATGTCAATGCTACGACGCTCACATTTGATTTTATGTCACATATCTTTCATGCTTTGTTATTTTGTTTTTTGTAGAATGTATGCCATGGTTAATGTTTCATTCATTTTGTTGTGTAGGAGATAGACATCATGTATTTTTGCACATTCGGTTCATCCACGGTTGCTGTCAGGAGTGTTAATGGATTGACATTAAAACAATTGATACAAAATTTATGTGATAGGTGGGTGGATGTGACACTATCATCGACTTCAATATCTTACAAATTACCGTGTCACGAGAACCAAGTCATGATGTGTAATGATGTGGACATGGAAAACATGTTTTCCATTGCAAGGTCCATTGGCGTTACCCATATCAACGTTGCGATTAACTCGCAAAATGAGGTGGATGATTTGAATCGAGGTACTCAATTCAGTGGGACTATGTCTGCAAATCAATTGGTTCCTCACAGTGACCTATTTACATGTCCCCAACCTAGCGTAGATTTGTTGCCCAATTATGTCGCCATAGTGAGAAAATGTTGATGACAGTTGATTGGTCACACGGCATTAGTCATGTAGGCCAATGTTTCGAAGGGGGTATTGCTGCTTTCCGTTTGGTTTTGTCCAAATATGCTATTGAGTGTGGGTTTGACTTCAAATTTGTTAAAAATGATTCAGTGCGGGTTACGGCAGTGTGCACGTTGCGAGAGCAAAAAGGGTGTTCATGGTTGATACATGGAAGGGTTCAAACATGCAATGATTATTTTTACTTGAAGAGGTTGAACAACTTGCGTAGTTGTGGTGTTATTGTTCGCACTGGGAAGAATAACAGACTTAACTCTGAATTGGTTTGCAATGTTATTGGTGATCGGTTACGTGATAAGCCGCTTACACGTCCCATTGACGTTGTGTTTGACCTTAAAAAGGAGTACATCCTTAATGTTAGTTACCACACAGCATGGTTAGGTGTGGAGAAGGCAAGAGGCGAAGTATATAGTGACTATCATGTTTCATTTGATCAACTTAGGTGGTACGTGGATGCGGTTATGCATTACAACCCTGGGAGTTATGTCAACTTAGATTTTGAGCAGTCTACCGGCCCATTTAAGCAGTTCTTCATTTCGTTCAAAGCTTGTATCGACGGATTCAACCATATCTGCCCAGTATTGTTTCTTGACGGCACTTTTTTAAAAGGGAGATTTAAAGGCAATTTGCTTGCAGGGACGGGGAAGGATGGTAACAAAGGTATGTCTCTTACGATGATTTCTTTATACTTCTATATAGTAACGCATTACATTGTGGCTAACCTTTTTTTTTTAGTCCACTACTGTAGTGGGTGATCCTCAATTGGAAGATTGTTTCCAATTTAATGTTATTTTACTAACATTGTGTGTGGTGCGATTCGAATTTTGAACAATTGTTAATGTGGATGTAAACTTTGTTAAAAATACTTCATCTAACGGTAAACCTGTTGAATCTCCTAGGTTTATTCCCATTAGCTTTTGCTATTGTTGACTCTGAAACAACTGCAAATTGGACCTGGTTTTTACAGCAACTGACAAAGGTTGTTAGTAGTGCTCGCACATTAACTTTCGTATCCGACCGTAATATTGGGCTGCTTGAATCCTTGCTTGCTGTTTTCCCATCTGCACACCATGCGTACTACTTACAACATCTCCAAGCAAATTTAAGGGACAAATTACGATGGGTTGACAACCGTGTACGTTTTGGTTTAATGGCCAAGTTGCGTGAATGTGCATATGCTCCAACCGAGGCTTCGTTTCAGTAGCATTGGACAAAGCTAAAAGGAACAGGATGATCTGGAATAAATAATTTCTTAAAAGATATGCCACCGAAGCATTGGGCCAACGCATATTTCAGGTTCGTACGAGACTTACACATGCTAACATTGCAAGTACCCAATATGTGATAACATTTTCATTATATTTTTATAATGTGAGCAGGGGCAAATGGTATGGGGAAATGACCTCGAACACTGTAAAATCATTTAATAAATGGATACTTAATGCGCGTAATTATCCAATCACAAGGTTGGTTGATATATTCAGAAATCAAATAATGACTATGAGGGCTGAGCGTAAAGTTTTGGCTACTAATTGGAATGGGTTACTTTGTCCGAAAATGGAAAGCTGTGTTAAGGAGGCGTACTCCAATGGTTGCACATGAATTGTTAGCCAGTCAAATGAAGACATATATGAGGTCCATTCATTTCCAACGATGTTGGTAGACGTTGGCAAGCGTTCATGTTCTTGCTTCCAGTGGCAATTGAACGGATTCCCATGTGCACATGCGGTGGTTGCAATACAGAGTAGTGAAAGGGATTTTCAGTACATTTGTTGAACAATTTTCACTGTCGATCAGTATAAAACCGCTTATTTTGGATACATTCAGCCAATACCAATAGTTGACAAACCCTCCTTCTCGGAAGACGACTTCATCATATTTCCACCGGCAGTTAAACGTCCTCCAAGGCGACCCAAGAAGAATCGAATACCATCTCGGGGAGAGAAACTAAGTCAGATTAGGTGCTGTCGACGTGGCTGCATGGGCAGCCACAACCGAAAGACATGTAAAGAACCAATTTAGTAATAGGCATTTAGCAGGAACTTTTGTAATCTGTTTTGAACAGCAGCATCGTATTAACGTAGTAGCATGTATCGAAGCCAATTGATGACAGATTTTAATAAGTGAAGACACTGTTTACAATTGATCATTCAGCTATTTTTTCTTTTACACTGTCTCATTCATATGTTGGTGTTACATGTTTATTTATTAGGTCATGCAAACGTATGTTTCAGACCTGCAAAATACGTTAGACAAAATGTGTTGCACGCTGGCCTTATATGTGGAAGACATTTATTTTGTAACATAGGTGGTGTTGTTATTGTCTCCGTCTGACAAGTTCTCGTGCAACCAGTTAGTCAATGTTAAATTACAGCAAATTCTTGACATATTAAATTGCCAAAGCCAACCAAGATTCCTTCTCACCTTCTCATTCACATTCACCTATACGTTCACATTCACATATAGCTATCCATTCGCAATCACATTAAATTTGGCAATATCATTTACACAAACACATTTACATTCCTATTCCTATTTTCCCACTCAGTAAGAAAAGTGCACAAAACTGTTACACATTCCACAGCACAGTCTTGCTATTAAATGTAGACCACCAAACCTGTTCTAACAAACACAATCACATCGAATTTCACATTCACTATCACATAAACATAACAATTCACATTCACACAACCATATTCACATTTGTACGTCACATTCGCAAAAGAGTGCAAAACACTGTCATAGATTCACATTTGCATTTTGGGTGTTACAGGTATACAACCAAACCTGTTATGTCATTTACAATCACATTCAATTTCACATTCACCATCACATAAATGTAACCCTTCACATTCACATAACCACATTCACATTTGTATTTCACATTCGCCAAAAAGGACAAAACACTGTCATACATTCACATTTGCTTTTTGGGTGTTAGAGGTATACAACCCGACCTATTCTGTCATTCACAATCACATCCAATTTCACATTCACCACCACATTTACATACAACTTCACACTCACTCAACCAATTTCACATTTGCAATTTCACACTCCCTAATACAAGTACCAAACACTGCCATACATTCACAAACACAATTTCTGTATTAGAAATGAACAACCCACATCGTTTTATGGCATTACCATTCACATTAACCTCACATTATGAGTCACATTACCAATTACATTCACATTTACGCAACCACATTCACACTTATGTAGCCGACATTCCTACTGCCCTTAAATTCCTATTGACATTACTGAATGACACATAAAACCATATTAACAAAATAAAGTGCATACCAAAAAAAAACACAATTAACCATTGTTGCCTATTCCCACAAAAAAAATACACTAATCAGTAATCCATAATGACAATGCAATCAAAAACATCAAAAACTTCCAATTTTTCCTGTACCAGCAAACTTTTTATACCATTCCAAAACAAATAAAGTGTGATTATATACCCAATATATTAAATCTGCACCCATATACCACCATCAGAAGATAGTCAATTGTCAGCCACAAATGACCTTCTCCTGTCATTCACAAATGACTTCACTATACCGGCTCACATTGTTCTGCAGCTCTCCCCTCCTATTGACTTGTCAACATCTAGGTGACGCACAAGTTGCTTCATAATGAAGCATACTATAATTCCACAATCATTCCTATTACAAAAATTTAAGCCATTAGTAACAATGTCAAAACAGACCACGTGCAATGTACGGAAACATGAATGTCATACGTTGCAAAGAAACGTAACAAACTTACGAGTCTGGTTTTTGTTGTGGACAATAATCAACCACTAGAAGCTCCTTCACCATGTCTTGTGTTTCAACTGTGCCCATCTTCAGTCTGCGATTTATGTAATCCTCAAAGTAGGATTTCTACATTATTGTCAAATTTATATTACAATAATTAGTATTATTGTCCAAAATAAAATACAAATATCACTGTAAGAAAGTAATTGATGTTTACTAACCAGCAACGACATTTTCCAGTAATGTTTGTCTTCCCTCCCACGTCTTGGTTTCATAGAGTTGTAATGTAACCAAAACCCCTCCTCAGTGTCATAAACCATTAGTGTCCAATGGTTATCTAAGTGAATTGGGAATTGAATATATCTGGCCTTTAGGGCATGCGGGGCACACAATGCCAAGTACCTGTCACGTACATCTTTGGCCACATCTCTTATCGTAGGCTGCATACATTCATTTTGGAAATTTAAAATGACAAACTAAAAATGACATTATTCATTTCATCAGTTGCATGTCTTACCAAACATAATGTGCTGAAAATGTATGATTTTTCGTCATCCGCGGATTTAGGCGCCTTCATCTACTGCTCGTACATCAACATTTCCACGTAGGCATCAATCACCTACGTGAAAAAGAAAACAATTTTTATTTTCCTTCCCTTGTATACATGTACGTAAATTGCATTCTATGTGAAGAAACTTCAAAAGTTTGACGAATAATTAGAAATACCATACTTACATTGCCTCGTAATGTCAGCCCTTTTAACGATCGCCCGTATGTCATTGAAAGACACAGTATGCGGTCCAGTCCAGACTTGCGCACTACAATACATTTTTTGAATAATAAATTCATGTACAAATGCATAATGGTAAGAGCAAGTTGCATAACCTACCTGTCACCCCCTTTCTCATATGCTTCTTTAAGCTTGTCTTTCTCTTGCGTTGATAACAACTTCCAGATTAGTAAACAATTAGTCAAGTCGAACCGAGAAAATGCCCTATCTGGGTCTGTAATGTTGTCAACCTCAATGATCTCATCTTTCATTTCTTGTTTACTGTCACACTCACCCCTATTGACTACACCATTGTCAGATGGTTTCATCTGCCTTCCCAAAACCAGTGGATATTCATACTCTGGCAGTTTATGCTCCTTTATATTTTTCTTTTTAATGTTTCTCACAAGCAAGTTCTGCAACGCAGTCGTTCCAGTGTTTTGATTAATACCAGCCATTAAATCCACATCACGTGCCATTTGCCCAATGTCATTGATCGGGGTCATATGAGTATCCACCCCTTGTAACTCTGTCTTCTCATTCACATCAGATGGAAACGATGTTGACAATGGCATAATGACAAGTATGTTTGCCTCACAGTGATACATTTCCTCATTACTTTGCTTCATCTCCTGTACACTTGCAGCTGCTTAGGTGTATTCATGGACTGTGTACTCCTCCAACTGTTCCACGAGCTTCGCGTTTTTGTCATTAAGTTCATCCACTAGCTGCTTCATCCTTTCAATGTCTCATTCCTTCTGCTTATTGTTCACTTTGATTTCATGTTCTAACTTGCCACATTTTTCTTCGTACGCTGCCCTCATTGTTGCCAATTATGTCTGTAATGCAAATATGACATCAGATTTACGTTGGAGTTCTATCTCAAGCACACCAATTTTAACCAGTGCTCTCTGGTATTCTTCGGACGTAGACGCACACCGAGCACACTGATCATTACTCTCAGCACCAACCCCACTGTTTGAACATTCGACCTTTGCTCCAATTTCTTTAACGTCTTTCGTCTTCATGAAGCGCCGTTCAGAATAACTGATGTTCAGATCTCCTACCACAACCTGCAAACAATTTAAAAATCAAAAATAGTAAATTGGCACATCTAATATTTACTCTAATGGTACAGAAAATCATACTTCAACATCATTTGGCTGCTCAATGTCCACTGCTCTTATCTTTGTGACCAACTTGCTGATATTCCATTTCACAAATCTCGGAAATCCATCTCCACGATCTACTTGTAACAAGTTGGTGTGCTTACATATCCAAAACTGTGTGACCATGGGTTAAAAACATTAGCTGTGAAAGTTTTTCAAAACAAATACACGTGCCAAAGCTACCAAACAAAATCAAAATTATATGGTGGGAAAAACAAAAAAATAGAGCACTTACAAGTAGGGCAGTAACACATCCAATAACTTTCTCGGGCTTAGAGTAAAATCCCTTAATTGACTCCGTCAAAGTTGTGCAGATTGCTCCAGCCCAATCATATGCCTTCATGTTCTCTAGATCCTCTACAACCCAGACGAACCCTCATCTCATGGTCTCGCCTGAAGTAGCAATGAATAACTTCCCACACAAGTACAAACACAGTAACTTTGCTACATCCTGGTGATCCTGAGTAGCGTTCCCAAGTAATGCATCCATTAACAGTTC